ATTTGGTTTATATATATATATATATATCCTAGTGTTAGAAATATATAGTTTGTTTGAGGTAAGTGAGATATCTGACACCAGGAGTGGTTTAGATACATCGCTTGTTTGAGATAAGTGAGATATCTGACACCAGGAGTGGCTTAAATATATAGTTTGTTTGAGGTAAGTGAGATACCTGCACATTCTAAGGACACCAGGAGTGGTTTTATGGCCCAAGAAACTGAGGGAGTGAATTGGGCTCCATCTGGGGATCCAAACATGGGGGAGGATTGATGGCCCAAGATCAGACCCAACAAAGCCACTTCTGCCTTGCTGCTCAGGGCAGGATGACACCAGTAGGTTTGTTAATTGGGAAGACAGCCCAGGGGGCAAGAAAGGTAAAAATTTTACCTTAAAAGGTAAAAAGTAAACTGCTAGAATGGAGTGTGTAAACAGGGGTGGGAAACGATAATTAGAAGCATCTAAGATGGGCTGTAAGCCCTGGCGTACCCAGCCAGGGGAAACGGGAGGGAACTTTGCCTCGGGAATAGGGACTATAAACAGTTACCTTACAATGGGTGTGCCTTCTTGTTTGCAAGAATGTAAATAAACTGTACTTCGTTGAAGGATCTGTGTGGGCCTGTTAATTGGCACGACAAACGTTTCTCACAGCCCCCTCAGGTTGGTGCAGGTCAGCAGCTCTGAGTGGGCCCTGGCTGGGTCTTCCTGGGGATCCCTTCAGGTTTGTCTTTGCTACCTCAGCTGGGTGAGAGGAATCCGTCCCACCAAGGTGGCAGGGCTGTTCCCTGTTTACCTGCCCAGCAGCAGCAGCAGTGCGGGGTGAAAGCTCTGGGGTGTTGCACTTTGTGGTTTGGCCGTGAGCGTCCTGGAGGGAGTTTGTGAGCTGTAGCTGTGAGGACTTTGCTGCACAGAATAATAATTTAAGTTGGAAAAGGTGTTTAAGTTCACCCAGTTCCCCTGTTAACCTAGCACGTTACCAAGTCCACCACTAAAGCGTGTCCCTAAGCACCATATCTGTGTGCCTTTCACATCTCTCCAGGAATGCTGACTCCACAACTTCCTGAAGTGCTTGACAACCTTTTGGTAAAGGAATTTTTCCTAATATCCAGTCTAAACCTCCCCTGGCATGACTCAAGGCCATTTCCCTTGGTCCTGTCACTTTTTACCTGGGAGAAGAGACCAACACCCCCCTTGTTACACCCTCCTTTCAGGTAGTTTTAGGGAGTGACAAGGTCTCCCCTCAGTCTCCTTTTCTCCAGGCTGAGCAACCCCAGTTCTCTATGCGTTCAATGTGTAGCGATCAGTAGCATTTACAGTGATTTCAGCATCTTGTGGCAGGAAGCATGAAGGGCAATGGAACTGCTGAAGGGTCTGGAGAACAAGTCTTCTGAGGAGTGTACAGTAGTTACTGATGACATTGTTGAGACAATACGGCTCCTCTGATTGACTCTTACACCAGGGAAGTGGAGGAGTCACCACCCGTGAGGATGTTAAAAAAACATGTGGATGTTGCCCTCAGGACATGATGGTGTTGGGTTGATGGTTGGACTTAATGATCTTAAGAGGTCTTTTCCAACATTACATGTATTTTATCTCCTAAAACTTGCAGGTTCTTATCCTTAAGGGTCTCAAGCAGGAGGTGAGTTTCCTCTGCCCCTCTCCAGACGGGTTGCACTTGGCTGTTGGGTATGAGGATGGATCAATCCGTGTCTTCAGCCTCCTCAGTGGAGAAGCAACCATCACTTTCAATGGACACAAGAGTGCAGTCACAGCCCTGCAGTATGACCATCTGGGTGGCCGGCTGGTGTCTGGCTCAAAGGTGAGGGATGCACATCTGGACAACAGCCCTTTCATGAGATGCCCCATGGGGAAGGCTGACCTGCCTGAGAACATTTGGTATTTGAAGTGGGTTATGTGGCTTCTTCCTGTGGCCAAAGGTGGCGAGTGGGGTTCAAAGAGGCAGCG